GATAGATAGATAGATAGATAGATAGATAGATAGATAGATAGATAGACAGACAGACAGAGACAAAAGGGTCAATAATTAAGATCATATAACAATTATAAACACATACACTCCAAACAACAGAACTTCAAAATACATGAAGCAAACATGACAGAAGTGAAGTGAGAAGTGAATATTTCTACAACACTACTTAGAGACTTCAATACAAAACTTTGCAGGATGAATATACCTCTGGACTGATCAATAAGAGATAGAGAACTTGAAAAATGGTATACATGAACAAAATCTAGCTGATATGTACACATAATTCATTTAACAATAGCACAAGATGCATTCTTCTCTCGTGTACACAGATCATTCTCCAAGATAGATCATATGTCAGGTCACAAAGCAAGTCTCAGTAAATTCAAAAAGATTGAAATCACAATGTCTTTTCTGACCACGATATTATAAAGTTAGAAATCAATAAGAAAAGGATGATCAGAAAATACACAAATGGGTGGACATGAAAAACAACACACTACTGAAAAACAAATGGTATCTTACCAATGAGTTTTATCACGGACTTTTTCATGTCTCTGTTTCTCAGGCTATAGATAAAGGGGTTCAGCATTTGAGGGACAACAGTGTACATCATTGAAGTCACTGCAGTGTTTCTGGAAGACTTAGTAAGAGCAGAACTAATGTACACCCCCAAACCTGTCCCATAGAATAAGGACACAACTGAGAGATGAGAACCACAAGTTGAAAAAGCTTTATACTTTCCATCCACTGATGGCATTTGCAAAACAGAGAGGACTATTTGTGTATAAGAGAAAATGATTCCACACACAGGAACACCACCAAATAGGCCAGCTGCGAAATATATCACAATGTTATTGATGAAGGTATCAGAACATGCAAGTTTGATGATCTGAACAACTTCACAGAAAAATAGTGGGATTTCGAGGTTAGTGCAGAAGGTCAGCTGCAACACCATCAGACTGTGGAGGAGGGCATCCACAATACTTAACAACAGTGAGAGAAGAATCAGCAGTCCACAGAAGCGAGAGTTCATGATGATTGTGTACCTCAGTGGATGACAAATGGCCGTGTAGCGATCAAAGGCCATTACTGCAAGAAGACAATTTTCCAAACCAACAGAAATCAGGACAAAACAGGCCTGGGTGAGGCAGCCTAAGTAAGTGATGCTATGATTATGTGCTTGGATACTCACTAGCATCTTTGGGATTGTGGTTGTGCTTAAACAGATGTCACTAAAGGACAGATTGGAGAGAAAGAAATACATGGGGGTTTTGAGGTGAGAGTCAGAGCTGACAGCCAGGATGATCAACAGGTTTCCCAGGATGGTGACCAGGTACATGGACAGGAACAGGCAGAAAATAAGGGGCTGCAGTTCTGGATCATCTGTCAATCCCATGAGAAAGAATTCTGAAATATATGTTTGATTTCTGTGCCCCATGTTGTTGATGAATCTGATAGAAAAATGAGGTGAAAAGAAAATAAAATGAATAGTTCTTGGATAGGCAGCAGTAGCATCAACTGGGAACTTGTTAGAAATGAATAATGGTAGTTCCACTCCAGAATTGTTGCTGATAAACTTTGGTGTGAGGACTTGGGTGAGCAATTTAAGTTTTAACGATCCTTCCAGATAAATTTGATATATGCTAAAGTTTAAGAACCAGTGCTTAAAATAAAGAAAAAAAAATGCTGTATATTGTGAGTCAAAGAGAACGTGAATTCAGATCTTTCCCTCTTCTAATTTCTTCCCCTTCATCATCTTACTTTCTCTTTCCCTCTATTTTTTTTATTGGCCCTTATTTTTACTGATCACCAACTCTTTTTTTCACGTTGTGCCAAGTGCTGAGATTGAAATAAAAAGAAGACATGATGTTTCCTTCAGAAATATTTCTTGTCTCAAACAAAAAGAAAGATGAGAATGAAGTTATTCACTCTCTCCTGTAGACCATGGTCCCAAAACTTTGGCATGAATCAGAATCATTTTACAGGCTTGTTAAAGTACAGAGGAGTTAGATCATACAATCACTCCATTTATCCATAGAGAACCTTAAGTAAGGTGAGGTGACATCATGGACACAAAGCACACAGCTCATGATAAAGACTGGGTCTGAGACCAGATCATTTGACTGCTGAATTGACTCTCTTGACTAATCTCTGTTAATTCCTCCAGATATTACAGAACTAGCGTTCCTAAACCATCACTCAGATTTCATAATTCTTCTTTAAAATTGTAATAATTCATCTTGAACAACGCCCCCAAATCTTTTCACTTCCCTATAAGATATGCCCAACTCTACTCGTGAAGTATCGTGTACCAGACCATGGCATCCATCTGAGTTTATGCTCTATACTTGAGCAAAGATTAGAAAATATTGCCTATATTGGGGCTGGTCTGGTGGTGTACTGGTTAAGTTTGTGCACTCCACTTCGGTGGCCTGGGATTTGTCAATTCAGATCCTGAGCGCAGATCTACACACCGCTGATCAAGCCATGCTGAGGCAGCATCCCACATAGAGCAACTAGAAGCATGTACAACTATACATGCAACTATCTACTGGGGCTTTGGGGAGAAAAAAAAGATACAAGGAGGAAGATTGGCAACAGATATTAGCTCAGGGCCCAATCTTCCTCAAAAAAAAAGAAAAAGAAAATATTGCCTATAAACATGAAATTCATAAGAGCCTTCCATGGAAACTCTACTTAACTCCATTTGCAATGGTTTCTAATATAAACTGGAAAACTATGTCAATGAGATTCTCTGTCTCATCCTAAGGGAATTTCTTCCCCTAAGGTGATACGTGGTGCATCATTTTTTAAAAAAAGAAACAGCTAAATGAGAGAAAGAATGAAAGGCATAGGCTCCTAAGAAAACAGAAGAAAGTTGCTTCAATTTTTGGTCCTTGGAACACAGAAACCAACAAGATAAGAGAGACTTATATGTTACTTATAAGATAATAAAGTGTCTTGACAAGATTGTCTCTGTAAAGTGATCTTTCAGAGGAGTAAAAGTTGTCATGACAGCCTTTATCATTTGGTGTGTTAGATGCAAACACTCTCAATTTAATCCAGAAGAGTACTTGATTTGTGAATGAGAAAAACTGTTCAACTGCTTTTGAACAATTTTTGTTTGTAATTTTGAAAGCCTAGTGTCCTCATTTGTATAATGGGAACTGTCATAAAAACTCATGTGGATATAACAATGATGAGAAAGAAATAGAGGAAAATCATCCACCACAGCACTCGATATATGCGATGCTTGTACTGATATTTCCTATTATGATTTTTTTCTGCCTGGAACAACAGTTCCTGGCATGTTTCACTCCTCAAAAGAAAGCAATAGAGTGGGACAAGTTGAGGAAGAAAATAGAAAGAAGGAACATCCCTAGATGATAACTGTAAATTTCAGGAAAGTGTTTCTGAGCTGAAACCCCAACTGAGAACCTTTATCATGCAGGAAAGGAATGAAGAAAACATCAATGATATCAGTATTCATTTGGCATGGACACATGATGAAATATATAGCAATTAGGATGATTCAAATTATAAAAAGAATCAGATATATGAATCAACACAAATGATGAAAATCTACAAAAGACAAGTTTTGTATGACAAAAAGTCCAGAGCATGAGAAAATTTTAAATATGTTTGATCCTACATAGACACATTTATTTCCATTATGGATTATTCAAGTGAAACAAGATACAGAGATAGGAGTGAAGACCTTGTTACCCATCAGTCAAATTATGAAATTCATACCTTTCACTGTTCTCATTGTAAATGTTTTTATTGCGGTAAATCATACAGGTATATGTGAAACCCCTACATCATTTATTTGCACAACTTTGATTCTTTTCTTTCCCCAGAGAAATCACTATATAGATTTCATATACGTTATTCCTCTGCAAATTTTACTATAATTAGTATTATTGTTCCATAACAATTTTTTTTCTTTTGTGAGGAAGATCAGCCCTGAGCTAACATCTGCTAATCCTCCTCTTTTTGCTGAGGAAGACTGGCCCTGAGCTAACATCCATGCCCATCTTCCTCTACTTTATATGGGACGTCACCACAACACGGCCTGACAAGCGGTGCATCTGTATGCACCTGGATGCGGCTTGGGCCACCAGCAGCAGAGCGTGTGCACTTAACCACTACGCCATGGGGCCGGCCCCTGTTTTGCATTTTTTTAAGTATTGTATAAACTGAATCATACTGTACACACCATTTATAACTAGTATTTATCTTTAACTAATTTTTTGATAAATGTAGATGTACTTAGCCCCACTTCATTAATTTTAATTAGCAGAGAGTATTCCACTATCCTGTTATATCATGTTTTATTTCTCCATCGCCTAACTGAGAGGTATTATGGTTAATGCCTTTCATCCTATGGATGTTTATGAACACACATATAATATAAAGCAATGCATGGGAGATACCATCAAATTCTAGATGATTTTGTCTCTAGGAAGGGGAGAACAAGAATTGAGGGGGATACAAAAGGAGTACCTTCTGTATGCATATTATTTTGTTATTTTATAAAAAGAATATGAAGCTGATATAGTGGAATGTAAACATTTGTTAATTCTGGAAAGAGCTGAAGGGTGGTAGTACTTTTTTTAATTATAACATCTCTTCTGTTCTTATATAAAATACATGTTAATTTTATAAAGAGAACAGGTGTACTAGGAAGGCAGCTGGCTGAGTCTCTGTTTTTACTTTCCCTCCAACATCCTTACATCCCACCTACAGAGATAATACAAATTCTTTTCTGTACAATGGTGTATCAAGAGGCAGAAACAAAGACGAAAGGGAAAGCTGTCAAACCCTTTCCTCATGACCAGAAAAGAATTCAAGTAAATGTCAGAAAGTTTTATAACAGTTATCCTGTTTGAGAAGGGGCAGATTTCTGCTGGGGATGATAACACATTCTTCCATTTTTAAGAGAAATTAAGAGAAAGTCACCTTGAGAACTGGCTCAGTATTGGTACATACATACATGAGAACTTGTCAAGAAGGAAACAGTTGTACTGCAGTTCCGTGGACACTTGGTTATGATCATTTCATGCACGTGCTCTCCTCATTGTTTCCCACAGACAAATTTGTAGTAAAACACCTGTCCTCATAACCAACACATTAACTAAGGGGCTTTAGGCTATCTGACTGGCATCACTGTGGAATGGTGCTTCTCATGTCACCTGGATATTGAAGACAGAAGATATGTCTTCAGGAAGAGCAGAGAGACCAAGTGAAACACTGGGGTCCTGGCCGAGAGAGATCATCCCTGCATGGAGCTTCAGGTGTGCTTCTTCCTGACCAGGCAAAGGCTGTTGAATGGGTTGTCACTGGCTGACTCGTTACAGTCACTATATCCCTCAGGGGTCAATATCCAAAGCTCCTCATTAGACCAATATTTTTAGTGTTATTCTTATCCCTGGGCACTGCAAATCCTTAAAGACCAAGACTACGGAACAGATGAATTCATGATGGCTAATTTCTGTCCCTGTTAGGTGAGGTAAACACCGTCCAGATCACTCCACCTGATCATGTTCAACTCCATTTCACATACCGTTTGCACATGTACACACATTCCTTTTGTAATGAATTCCAGACTACATTTTCAAAGTTACAAACACAGCATCTCTAACTAATTAATGATATTTTGGAGCCTGACTCCAATTTTAAGTGTGAAAACATAGTTCAGGTATTGGGTAAAAATAATACATTTATAAATATAGCCAAGATATTGTAAAATTCAAACACTTAGAGGTATTTCATCTTTAGAGTCCCTGAATGTTTCCTATACCTTAATTTCTGTTTTCTACATTTAACAGAACAATCTGAAATATCTGTGCTCACTTGAAATCATGATCAATATACACAGACTTCATACTCCCCTTTAAGACGTTCATACTCACTTTTCCCTATTTCCACAAAATAGATTCAATGTACATTTTTCTTCACTTTGGGAGGCTTTGGGTTGCATTATGGTTTTTCATTTTTGATTGTGTTGTGGTAAAAAATAAAACAATGTCACTGAAAGGCAGTACTGTGCAATTTTCTCCATTAGGTAGTAGATCTCATGAGATTTCATCCATAATTTAATAGATGTAGATGATGCTCCTTGTTAATATTTACTTAAAAACATTTTTTAAGGACTTCTCTATTTCCATGTGTTTATCAATTACTTTACATTTTAACTCTTTCTATATGAGTTTTCTTAATCTCTATTTTCGAGATATATTATTTGAAAATAAACTTATGACAAGATGGCATAGTAATGTCACTCTTCATCACCTTAACTTCACTCATTTCAAACATATTAGAAATATATAAAACACACAAAGACATTGCCAAACTCAAGAAAGGATAAAGTTGTCCATGTACCACAAAAGAACTGAAACATAAAGTTGTAAGTGGGCTATAGCCAAGGCGCTCTATGGA